GATGCGAAAAAGGACCGCGTGTCGCGCCACACGGGTTTTCGTTTTATATAGTAAGAAGAAGACTAGCTCTAAGTGAAACTCGGGGCCCGTGGAACTCGCTGAGAGTGGGTACCGATTTTGGAGACAACGTCGTTGGTATTATAAAAGTCTCAAAGGTTGTAAGACGAAAGTTTATGATTTGTGATAAGGAGTAGTGATATGGATTGGAGATAAGGCTTGGCGCTTTGGCGGGAATGTATAAAAGTTTGAGCGTCTAGCAATCCATCACGAACATTGTAAATGGATACGATCTCCAGGATCTCAAGGCGTTTGGCAGCTGCTTTTGGTTGTTGAAATTGTTAAAAAGTGTAGAGTCGATATGTGCATTTGATTGTCTAGCTATCAGTCATAAAATCACATATAAGTAAGCAATATGAGAAGCGTATATTATCAGGTATGCACTCCACCTGCGGTGGATTGCGGACCCTGTTAGTTACGTACACGGTTTAAGATAGACTGGTTGCGCATCGACGTATGTTAAGCTTACTGACCAAGTGACTATGCAATGTACTAACATAAACTGACTGACAGTAAGTGCCATCTAGCGTTGACACCTATAAGTTTTACTAAATCGTGCTAAAACAGTAATTTTATTTTGCAATGATTTTAATTATGACTATTGTTAACTTATTTTTAATCTCTCTAGGTATCTCAAACCTCAATATTATTCACTGAGTGTCTGTTCCACTTTAGGTCTTTGCACATTGTCAACCATATACTATTCTACGAACTACAATATTAGCGTTGTTTAATTTTATTATATACTAACTAGGTACATATTTACAACACATTTTTATAGGAAATCTTTTTAAAATAAATCAAGCAAATAAATTTGTTATATATTATATTATTTTAATTAGATACTTAAATAGTAAATTACAACTAACACAAAAAGAATAAACATGACATATGCAATTTAAATTAGTTGGATAAGTAAGTGATTTAGAATTTATAATAATAATAATACTTGTGAAATACTGAAATCTTAAAAACATATTTAATTAATTAATCCTCTAATATCAAGAAATAATAATACCAATCAAAAAGTTAAACTTCTAATTTACAAAACCCTCCTGAAACCTATTTGGACTTATGGCATACAGCTCTGGGGTTCAGCAAAAAAATCCAATACCAAGAAAATACAAGTATTCCAAAACCTAGCTCTTCGACGACTCTCCAATGAACCACTGTACGTCTCAAACCCAACATTACATAATGATTTTCAAATGAAAACCATCAACGAAGAAGCCAAATTCTTTTACTCGTGCTTCCGTAAGCGACTCCTATCCCACCAAAATCCTCTTATTAAAAACCACTCCTCTCTCAGGAAATCCAAGGCGCAGGCTAAAAAGGAAATGGTGTCGTAACCTCCTACAACTGCTATAATATATATATTATATGTATACATACAATTCAAATTATCAGCCAATCACCAAATATATATTAATGATTCATAACCGCTAGATCGCGTTATGTGCCAGTAAGTTTTTGTAAGCGCTTTCTCATGCCACTTTTTTTCATTCGACGCGCAACCAGTCTATCTTAAACCTTGGTTACGTAGATTAGTGAATAATCAAAAATATGGATTGGAGATAAGGCTTGGCGCTTTGGTGGGAATGTTTAAAAGTTTGAGCGTCTAGCAATCCGTCACGAACATTGTAAGTAGATACGATCTCCAGGATCTCTATACGTTTTTCAGCTGCTTTTGGTTGTTGAAGTCGTTAAAAAGTGTAAAGCCGATAAGTGTATTTGATTGTCTAGCTATCAGTCATCAAATAACATAAATAAGCAATATGAGAAGCGTATATTATCAGGTATGCACTCCACCTGCGGTGGATTGCGGACCCCGTTAGTTACGTAGATTAGTGAATAATCAAAAATATAGATTCTAGTTGGCCCATGAGACTCGCTGAATTTGCGGGTACCGATTTTGGTATAAGTGTCGTTTAAAATATAAAAGTAGCGACAGTCGTAAGATGAAAGTTTAGGATTTGTCATAAGAATTAGTGATATGGATTGGAGATAAGGCTTGGCGCTTTGGCGGGAATGTTTAAAAGTTTGAGTGTCTAGCTATCAGTCATCAACGGTGTAAGTACGCATAATATTTTACATCTCTTTTTTGTGGCTTTTGGGTCTGTCCAAAAGTTTGAAGTCAAAAAATACCATACACCTAATCGATTTTCTAAACTATCAGCGCACTTTGTTCAACGTGTATTTATGATCCATAGCTCACCAGCCCTTTTTGTAATTAAAAAAGTGTACGTCGATAATTCGAATATTAAGTCGATATTTATGAAGTTCATTAATTTACAAAAAATAGAAAATCCCAAAGTATAATATATATAAATGTGTGTTTATTGTATGATAAATGATAATAACATATTATAAACACAATTAGGTGTAATAATAAATTACACTGCCTTAATGTACTTAATTATTTCCAAGAAAATAGAATATATACGATCATTGTTATGATCAGATCAAGGCTATTTAGTGCATGTATAATTAATAAAATTAATCATAGGGATGTCAATATCAAAATCCATTTGAATATGGTACATTGCCATTTTTGTTGTTTTGTTAAAAAAATATTATATGTTTAGTATTCATACCTATCTATTACATCGTTTTTAATAAAAGTATAATTTAACTTAACCTAACTTGCAGTATGTCATTGATACTATTAAAATTATTTATTTATTTTAGCATATTGTGTGCGTAATTGAACAGTTTGATTTAGTATGGTATGTATAATACCTATATTGAATCAAAAACAGTAGGTAAACAATATTTTAAACAGAAAGTCGTGTTAGTTACATACTTACATAGTTGAAATAGTAGTACCTACAATGATAAGCTATATTTTGTACAAACAAACAAATGAATTGACAGTGATTGTAAAACCGTAATGAATACATAAAACCGTGTTTAAAATAATTAGTTAAAAATGCAATAGTTAAGTTACAATGATGAACGTACATAACATTATATTTGTTCTATATAAACAATTGAATAGTTAAATCACAATAATACACATTATAATATATTTGCTTACATACAGACATGTAATTATTAAATTAAAAAATGCAATAGTTGAATTACAATATGTACGTGACGTTATATTTTTTGTTAAATTAACAATTTAATAGTTAAATTACAAATTATTTGTTATATAAGCAATTCAACAGTTAAATTACAATTATGTACTTAACATTATATTTTTTCTATATAAACAATTTAATAGTTAAATTACATTTATACACATTATAATATATTTTAGATTCTGAGTGAAACGATGAATGTATTGATTTTACAATGATGTGTGTTTTTTTTTTAATTTTTAATTTTTTTTTTTATTTTTGTGTCTGTCATCACGTTTTAGGACAGTAAAAGTGCTTGGATTTTCTTCATCAGTAGCTTTTCTGATAGGAAAGTGAATCTAGTTGGTACTTTGGGGGGTCAAAAGTATAAATTTCCCAGTAGTTTTCACAAGCGCCGGGAAAAACAACATAAAAATTAAGGAAAAACGGGAATTTTTACGCAAAATTGGTTTTCCAAAAAATCGATTTTGGTTATTGGTGTAACTCTAAAACAATTGAAGGTATATACATGAAATTTTCACTGGTTGTTTATATTTGCATTTTCTATACACGATAACATTTTCAAAATATTTTGATTTATTTTGAACTGTTTAGGGACATTTTCATTTTCCATTTTTTTTTATTTTTTTTTCTAAAAATATCAATAAAATTTATTTGTTGGTTGCGAAAGCTTGAAAATTTAATAGAAGGCTCCTAATATATTGTTTCAAAGGCAGATGAAAAATATTAAAAATCCTTAGTCACAATTTTTTTTTATAAGCATTTAAAGTTCAAAAATTGACAAAATATGGAAAAATCACGAAAATTAGCAAATTATTTTGAGTTAAGAATTCGTAAAAATTTTTCTTTTTAAATCTATGATTTGAAAATTAAACACAAGATTCCTTATAAGATTATCTACCTTTATCAAAAGAAAAATGTCTATAAGAAAGTCAAATTAAATTTTTATGAGCGTTTGAAATTCAAATTTTTACAACATTGAATATTCACTCGATTTCCCATGTAGCGATTTCCTTATTTTGACATGTAATTAGTAAGAAATGCAATAGTTAAAATTATGTACATGCCATTATACTTTTTAGTTTTTTTTAAATAAACAATTAATTAGGTAAAAATACAACGATGAAGGTACATGACATAATAATATAAAGTATAAAAAATTAGTAGTAAAAATATTCATACAGTAAAGTAATATTATTAAAATTTAAAAAAACCAGTAACTATAATTTGTAAAATAACGTAAGAAAATCGAAAAAAAACATGTTTACCCACGTAAATACATATTATATTATAATACATAAAAAATGAAATATGGTAGATTAACAGGTTGACTGCCAACCCATTTTTTGTCAAATTTGATCATATGGCCATGAGACCTATATTTGGATCTCATCTTAATGTCCAAAACATTTTTTGAGATCCATTTGGGGATCTCACGTATATTTCATTTTAGTAATTGAGATCTCGAGTTGGATCTCATATATCACGGTAATTTAAACGTGATTAGATTCTACCGTATTTCTAGTTTTATTTGGTAGTTTTAGCAAGGAATTATCGTCTTTTGTTGATTTTATATGATTTTTTTCGTTTATCCTATTAAAATAACCTTTAATATGCTTTTAGTTGACTTAATTATTACTTTTAAATTTTAATACGTTAACGAGTTGCACAAAGGAGAATGGTAGGAATAGTGAACATCGGTACAAATGTACAAGACCTCATAGTGTGATTGATAAAATTCCCTCCATTATTGTTATCATGATGTAAAATGACAATTGACAATTCATTAATGTTTTACTGTTGACTCGTTTCACTGTATGTACCTATAATATTTATTCAAGAAGTGAACTTATTTTAAAAATGGATGAACACATTATTAATCAGATGTTAGATTCTGATTTCGACGAGTTTGATGATATAGACGACACCGATGAAGATCCAACTTGGGAAAATGATGATGTGAACTCTTGTTGTAAGTAACTACAATACAAATATTATACTTTACACATTTTAAATGTTTTTTAATATAAAAATGATAACAGTAATATTAATTATAGAACTTTATAGTATTTAATTGTAGAATTGTATATTATAATTGGTACTTGTATAACAATTTAATTTGATTATTTTTTTTAATTAGTTCAAGATAAAATATTTGACGATATTGTGCAGGATAATTACATTAATCATGGTGAGTTATTTTTATGTTATAATATAGATTATACATCATAATAATTATTTATTGTATTCATAGATATTTCCCATATAAGTGACTCTGATACTGATGAAGAACCTACACAAACTGTGCGAAATACTGGACGTCCTAGAAAAAAAACTCAACAAGATGATAATCCTAGACAGTGGAGAGATGACGACTCAGTAATTAATTCATATATATTTAATCCTGACAATGGAGATTACAGTGTTAACCCTGATTTGTACGACACATTATATGATGGTTCTCCTATTGATTTTTATCACTTAATAGTAGATCAAAATATTATAAATAACATTGTCATTGAAACCAATAAGTATGCTGCACAGCAAATAGCCAGCAAAGTTATTTCTCCACATTCACGTCTTAATAAGTGGTATGATACTAATGAAAGTGAAATGAAATGTTTTTTAGGCCTTTTATTGTGGACTGGTTTAGTTTCTCTACCCTCCTATGATTTATATTGGAGTACTTCAGCTATTTTTAAAACTGAATTTAGTACTTTTATGAGTAGAAATAGGTTTGAAATTTTATTGCAAATGATTCATTTTGCAGATAACAGTAAGGCAGATCCAAATAACCGTTTGTACAAATTAGGAAGTGTAATAGATAATGTAATGACCAACTCAAATAATTGTATGCAGCCATATGAAAGTTTTTGTATAGATGAGTCTTTGATCAAATTTATGGGTAGATTGTCATTCAAACAATACATAAAGAACAAAAAAAGTAGATTTGGTATTAAACTATTCAAACTTTGTATTTATCCATGTTATACACTAGCAATCAAAGTTTATGCTGGTTAAGAGGCCAATGCAGAACTAAATGTAGGCTCAAAAATAGTACTTGAGTTATCTGAACCATACTTAGATTGTGGGAGAACTCTTTATGTTGATAACTGGTATACTAGTATTGAACTAGCCGAATCACTAAATGATAGGCAAACACATTTGGTTGGAACCTTGAGGGCAAACAGGAAATCTAATCCAAAAGATGTCACACAAAAAAAATTAAAAAGGGGTGAAGTTATTTCAATGCGTAGCTCTTCAAATATTTTAGTTCTTAAATGGAAGGATAAACGTGATCTGTACATGTTATCTACAAAACATGATAGTGAAATGATATCAATTGATCACCGTGGTAAATATATTGAGAAACCTAAAGTCGTAATAGATTATAACTTAGGTAAATCACCAATTGATTTATCAGACCAATTGAGTTCTTATTCCAACCCATTGCGCCGCAGTATTAAATGGTATAAAAAGGTTGTTTTAGATACATTGCTAAATATTGGAGTTGTAAATTCCCTTGTTTTATTTAATAAAGTAACTAATTCTAAGATGACAATTACTACTTTTCGGACAATTTTAGTGGAAAACTTGGTTAAAAAAAATAATATAATGCCTCCAAAAGTTACTATGAACCACGATTTTGTTAAATCTGGAAGAAGTAGATGTTTTAAGTGCTATAAAAAAATGGTATCTGAAAAGGGTAGGACATATGCACAAAATCATTCAACAAAAGTGTATACTAAATGTTTAGCTTGCAACAAATATTACTGCCAAATGTGTTTCATGAGAGATCATAAAATTAAAAAATAATATTTTTAATATTATTAAGACTAGACAGTTTGTCTATAGTTAGTTAATAGGTACTCAAAAAAAAGGATAATTTTTGAGTTTTTTTTATTGCAAGTGATATTATTATTATTATAAATGTTGAATTACTTATTCAATTTTCCAGACATGTATTTTCTTAAAAATTTTTTAAATATTTGTTATTTCCTAAGTCGTTTTTTCTCCTAAAAAGATATTGTAAATGAAGACTAGTCAGTTAACAGTCAATTTTTTATTTTAAACATAATATTTTGTGATACAAAAAAAAAGACTTAAGTTTGTTATTACCTATTTTATATTATTATATGATGTTAATCATTTTTATATTAGTTTTAAGTTTTTTTATTGTGAGATAATTAATTATTATTATAAAATATGTGAAATATTTCAATATTCCTAGACATGTTACTAAGTTCTAATATTTTATTTTGTTCAAAAGGTGATCAATTTATGTTGTTATTTTAAAATTTGTTTTTTTAAATAAATAAATATTCCAATTTGTTAAGTGTTTCAAAAAGTATATCATACTACACATTATTATTAGTAGGTAAGTACTAAAAAGATTTGATGAATTGAGGGGTCAATTTGGATCTCACTTTGTATGGATATAAAACTAATTAAAAACCGAAAGTGCCACCCACGCCATGAGATCCTATTTCGGATCTCATCCATAAACAATAAAATAACACTTGGAAAACATTTAAAATAAATTTGAAAAGATATCTACAAATTTTGAAATAGATAGGTGAATTTTTTTTCGAAATTTTTTTTTGAACAATTTAACAAAAAAAACCCTTGGCAGTGTGGATACAAAGGGGTGAGATCCAGTATGGGATCTCATGGCAGTCAACCTGTTAATGTAAAAAAAATTGAACGTAGTAGAAATATTGTAATTTTTATACACAAAGTAAAGTTAAAATAATAAAAATAGTAAAGAGAAAAGATCGGAAATTTGTAAAATTACGGAAAAAAAAAATGCAAAAAAAGTCGGGATTCGGGCGGCCGTGCAAACCATATGGTACTGACCGCAACGACGCCCCGAGAACGTACGACGGATTCGAACCCGGGACCTACATGTTATCTACCTAACGCCTAACCTACTCGGACACAATTTGAGATATGGATTACGGTCAAATCATCAACACTTAAGCCGTGCGTTTAAGGAGCGACGTAAGCCGATATATTCGATGTTCATCAATGTAATCGCATATAATTCGCTTGTAATACGCGCATCTCCCATATATATATTTAACAGAGCTCGTGAAAAGCGTTTTCCGTTAATAATTATTAAATCAATAGGCAAAAATTAAATTATACACGTATATAAATGTATTATACGCGTACGGTCGGTCGTAATTTCTAAACGCGATTGCGAAGCGAACCGACTGATTTCGTAAGAAAAGCGTATATATACGGCTTTAGAAAAACGTCAACTACACGATTCGGGCACGAACGACGTGCGAAAAGACGAAACTGTCGGAGAAAACGAAAAAAATCGGCAAAAAAGTCCGGCCGGGAGCGTATTTTGCGATCGACATTGCGACGGCTACGGACGGCGAACGGATATAAACCGCACACCGGCGGCTTCGAGAGATCGCGAGCTAAGCGAATCAAATATAAATATGAGCGAAAAAGGCTAGAAAAAGGTCGAAATCGTGTAAAAAGTGTAAATTTCGAAAATTTCAAAAATGATAAGAAAAGAAGTGATAACGCGATTATTGCCCGCCGCAGAATCTGAACGTTGCGCGATTGGCCGGGCCGGAAAAACGACACGAAAGTCGTCTATCCCCGTGGACAAAACTGGGGACTAACCTCGTTTTATAATATAAGAGACTAGCTCTCCGATATGGGACACCCCCAGACCCCCGTGAGCGGATCCCGAGTGTTGTCGATTTCGAAAGCAGCGGTGGTCTCGTGGTGTGGTCGACACGGTACATCGGCGAACAGGTGGTATGCCGATAAGGATGTGTGATAAGGCTAGGACCACTGCGGTTCGACGTGGTAGCCAGGGCAGAGTCTTTGACAGAGTCTTTTCGACGACGCCGCCGGAAATTCGAAATTTGGTAAAAAAATAATATAGTAATTTTTGTGGGTGTCTAGCAGGTGTCAGTCACTTCGAATAACGTTCGCCGTAGTAATACTGGTGGGCTATCCGACTTTGTGCGTCGATCGATCGAAGAGCTAAACTGTGTGACCGAGTTTTATAGCCGCCTTTTTGTGGGGGTGTCTAGCAGGTCAGTCGCCTTCCTCGACGTCACTGCACATAGGACATGAATCATAACGCAGAACCTACACACGATTACGAAAATCTAATATAGTAAAATGTAATATAAAAAATAATATAGTCGTCGTATTTTTGTGGGTTTCTAGCAGTTCGGACACCTAGAATGACGTTCGCCGTAGTAATAGTGTTTGGGGTCTAGCGGGTCGGTCACGTTCCTCGACTTTGGTCGTAGTCACCCTGGAAGGCAATCCGACAATATTCGACGGCTGGGGCACGTCATCACGTATGCAATCCGAACTCTGGCGCAAAATCAAGTAATAGGTCACGTGCAAAAAAAATGGTATTAGTCTTGGTGTCTAGCAGGTCAGTCACCTTCCTCGACGTTGGACGTAGTAACCCTAGTAGGCAATCTTACTCCGTCAGATAGTGCGACGTCCGGGTCAAGGCATAAAAACGCCAAATTACGTAAATCAAATATATATAAATAATAACATTTCGGGCGCCCGTGCTAGTCGTAAATTGTAATTTATTCGCCGTGATTTGTCGAGTGTCTAGCAAGTCGGGCGGCCACGTGTAATAGTTTTTGTCGTTTATAGTAGTAGAGAGATTTAGAATCGAAACTCGGTCAGCTGATTGGGATTTCGTTTCCCCATGGTCTTCCGAAAAACACGGAAACGTTTCCCCGCACCGACATGATCAGTCAGACCCAATGTCTCTCGTATCACATAATAGGCGGGAAGTTATCCGCTGATACCGCCGAGTGGATAGACGATAAACGGTCGGTGATAAGGCCTACAGGTTTGGCGGTATTCTGTCGAAGGCGGAAATGTTTGAAAATCATTTTTGCGTGTGTATCAATAAAATTGAGTGATGGTCCTAAGGCATTATTATGAACTTATGAAAAAATTTTGCAAAAATGAAATAAGAACGATGGCCAAAAGTGTAAGGTTTAATGCCGTGTTCGAATGAATAATATAAAACTATAAGATAATTAATTTGTCAATACAATAAATTAATTAATCGGCCGTGCGATATCGTTACCCGCATGGGTTACCTGCCTTGACTCTTGTGATTGTCGCCGTTCTAAGACCAAGCACTGCGCCGACGTCCGACTTTAAAATCATTTCATTCCAACTTTCTGAATCAGAAACACGTGAGTATACATTGTATTATAAATTTAATTGGTGGCTTTTTAAAAACCTTTTTTACACCGCAGATCGTAGGTAATTTATCAATTAATATAATGTAACACATGCTTTCCGATTAACGAATTTAATATTTTATTTTAGTTTTTAGAACACTATATAACATTGTTATATAATATTATGATTTTATGTTTTTATTTTTTATTTAATCAATAAAAAGATATTATTTTAAATAACCTATCTTGGACTACTTTTTTGTAGTTAGCATAAAAATAATAAAAGTAGTTAAATAGTAGTAGTAAATTAACATACATATTGTTTTTTTCGTTGAAAATAAAAAAATAAGTTTGTGCGCATATAGTTGCATTTGTGCAACAGACTTAAAAGCTGTACTTTTCAAGATTGGGTTTTAAGTTGGAATTTTTTAATTATTTTTTTTTAATTATTTTTTTTTAAGTTTCTATTGTACATTTTTTTAATTGTATATTAGTTTATATTTAGTTTATTTTTATTAGTTTTTAATCATAAACTGTATATTCTTACAAGTTTAGTTTAATTTGCATGGTATGTATTTTTTTTTTTTTTTTTTTTTTTTTTTACTTTATTTTAAAAACATACAATCTGTAATTTAAATTTACAATAATCATGTATGCAAATATACATTGATTTATTTGACATGCGACGCTTGAAAAAAAAAGCCACCCAATAGCAACACTTTATAACAGAAGTGGTATGTATTTAAGTATAGAACTCTGTGTCTCCTCTACAAGCTTTGCTTTTTGGAGACTTCCTCATTTCAAAATTCTTAATGTTATATTTATATTATGTTTATTTGTGAAATTAAATTTAAATTTATTATTATTATTATTATTATTATATACACAAAAGGTATACTTACTCTTTAATTTTTGGAGTAACAAATACAATTGATATTTCATCAGTTGTGCGACCAACGTAAAACGGTTCTCCATCAATAAAGGTTTTAACATTATATGTCCTCGAAAGTTGTTGTTGAAATTCTTCCATGTTTATAGGTTCTGATGGGAAATTGTTTTTTTTTTGCTCTAGCCATTTGCCTTTTATAGCTTTTAAAAGACACTGTTAAATTCCTAAATTGTTGTTTACCTAAAACCTCATTAAATATAACCCTGTGGCTTGTTTGTTCGTTCTTTGATCTATTAAGTAGGGTTTTTCTAAATTCTTCAATAAGTAACAGTTGTTTATACCATGGTCATGAAAGTAAGCAAGAGTAATGTTAATGTTTCATTTTCTTCCTGAAATATTTTTCCATTAGCTGGGAATCTAAAATTAAAATATTAAAGGTACATTGTTTAAATATGGATACTACAATCACAGAATAGATTAATTTAGATGTTTAGTAATACCTATATGGGTATATTAATTAATAAGTTTAATATTCTTACATTTGAGATTGTCTTCGGTGATAACGACAATGAACTTTTGTATAATGTTCATTGGTTTTTTGAAACCGATAAATTTCATTGAAACTATCTTTATAATTCATTTTACCTTGACGTACATTTGATACTATACGAACAACGGGTATTCTTTCCATTTCGTTTACTGAGTAAATGAAATGTTTTATATTAGATAGTAATTAAATTGCACAAGCAGTACCTATGGTTGTACAGATACCATAAACAAAACTGTTAGGATAGGTGAATATGATACAGATGAATATACATTTTATAATAAAATATAAATATTTATAATAAACTATTTAAGATTTAAATAATTAATATTTCTTAGTGCAGCAACTGTAAACTGAGAAATATTTCAAAATTGTGTTAAATAAAGAAACATATTATCACACATGTTATTGTCTTTGACCGTCGGCATAATGTTTTGTCAACAACTATTATAATATTATAGAATATTAGAATTCTATTTTTACCACGACTGTCGATCACCCACATTATTGCTCTGTGTTATCTTTAATCGTGGTTTTTACCGCGGTCTTTTATATTAAAGGCGGGTTTCCACTACGTTTCCACTATACACGTAGGCGTGTAAGTGCATACAAATCTTTTTCTGTGATTGGTTCGTTAGATTAAGTGACCACACAATTAACCACGATACCGTGTTGTTGGACATAGCTGAATATTTTTCATGTACACGGCCCACGTGTATAGTGAAAACCCACCTTTAACCACTCTTAATAGTCGTGACTCGTAACATTTTACAATACCTACCTATACAAAATATGAAGAGTCCAGATACCCACATAGGTGTACAACTTTTGTAAACATTCTAATTACTCAAAATACACTATTTTTTCATTTACTGTTGGAATTGACTTCGACCCATTATCTTTTGGATAACCGAGGGCCCGCGTACAACGATATATTAAAACTCGTGTAAAAAATGTTAATTGAAATATTACAAATTCAGAATCTATAGGTACCTAGTGTTAAAAAATAAACATATATAAATAATAACTATTAAGTAGATACGTAGATTAGTTATTATTATATAAAAAATTTACAATAGAAACTTAACTTTACTACTAATATATTTTTTGTAACTTTTAAAATTATTAAATTTGCTTATGCTGTTACGTGCTGCCCTTCAGGAATCCAAAAGCTGATGCACTTTTATAATAAACAATAGTCAATTTAAAATATAAATCAATTGTAGTTTTATTAAAACCAATAATAAATAATATAGTCGTGGTGAATTGTAGTGTCGTGAGTTGACTCGTTATAGTAGCTGATAATCTCCGTGTAAGTTGTGTGTAATGGCCGGTGCATAAGCGGCTCACTCGGTCTTTGCGGCACTGGTACATCTAATGTGTATAGGGGCCCTGGCCTCTATATATACGGAGGCGGTGTCCTTTGAATTGAGCGGCGCGTGGCATGTAGGCGTCCTTGGCAAGTACTAAGTTGTAGTGGTTTGGAGCGTCTATTCTAGCTATGACCACTTTTGGGTGCGGTCGACGAGGCCGCCTTTCACATAAGTGGTTCTTGTTATTATGAGCGTTTACATGAATTGCGTAATCCCATTACAATGTTAATAAAAAATCCATTACAAATTTCAATGCTAATTTAAAAAAAATCCATTTTCCCATATTCTGTACAATACATTTTTAATCTAAAAACATTAATTTCAACTTGTAGATAAATTGTTAATAAATTCCTATATTTTGTATACTCAAGTTTCAGTTAAATATTAAATGGTTTCTTTTTTAATTTATTAAATAGTTTATCTCCTGGTGTATGGAGATAACAAGGCCGGTAGTAACCCAATTTTTTTATTTAATTTTTTTGCTAGTGTAATGAACTATTTTATTAGTTTATTTAATGAGTTAATTAAGTTATCAAGAATATCGACAAAGGTACTAACAGATGGAATGATATCACAGGTATTTAATACTTCTGACCATTTTTCTTCTTTACATTATTTTCAAGCATCTTCAACTGCACATATTCAATATTTTTTTAAATTACATTTTTATCAATACATTAACATTGGTTTTATTAAATATTAAAATATTGTACTATAATGGTCGGTTATATTATTTACTGTTAAAGACATATCCGTTTGATACATCATAAACATTTGCACTTTTAAAGAATATGTGAACGAAACAAGAAGTAGAATTATTTATTAGGTTATTTCTAGTAATCTCATTTATTCACAAATTAAAACCATATGCACTGAGAATACTTTGATATTTAACTGAATAAAAGTTAATAGCATGCAAATTAATATCACCACAAAAAATATGAGGTATTTTGTCATTTAAATCATTTAAATAATTTTCAAGGTTCTCTACAAAAAATGATAGTCTAAGCTGGTGATCAGTATACTCATGTTAAATTTAATGTATCATCATTATTAGAAAAGTGTATACTTAAAGTGCTACAGAAATCAATTTTCTCTAACTGTTGAATTAAGATGGGGGCCAGAGGGGAAGTAATGCTAACGCGGTCCCCCCTCTGGTTCTCGATACCACGAAAAAAAAAAAAAAAAAAAACTGTTGAATTAACCTGAATTTAACTATTAATTTAATATACCTACCTAAATTCCTAGTAAATTAATTAAATACCCAAGTTATTCATCTTAGTCTATTGTTTACCTACATTGCACAGCAGCAACATTTTTAGACAATTTTGAAAACAAAAATCAGACTACCACATGGACAGATTTAGAAAATGCACTTCGATTAGAATTTGAGCCCATATCAGAAAAATATATGCTTAAAACTATACTAAAAAAAAGAAAACAGCTACCCAATGAATCAATACCCTCTTACATCAATGATGTGCAACACTTATGCAATAAAATTGACCCTATGATGTCACAATCAGACATAGTGTATACAATAATGAAAGGCTTAAGACCAGAAATCACCAAATATATAGGAGTTTTAGACAACAAAAATTTAGAAGATTTAAAAAGATTTAAAAAGAAACATTAAAAAATATGAATCTATAGAATTTATAATAAATAAAGAAATAACACAATCTCCGAACGAAATCACTACGGAACGTATAAATACAATAAACAACGATAATACAAAACAATTAGAAAAATTATCATCTAAAATTTCTAACTTAGAATCGATATTAAACGATTTATGTTCCCAACAAATTCACAATAACAATTACGTAAATAATTCAAACATTAATCAATATAGAAATAACAACCAATATACAAAACGTTTAGCACAAAATTACTTACACCAAAATGAATTTAACAAAAGTCAAATAAATTCAAATTTTGAAGATAACCAACAAAACATAATCCATAATAATTATCACAATTATTATTAACCAAATTATCACGTTAATAAACAGGAAAAATATTCAGATAATTATTTACTACCACATAACCATGACAATAAAATACCCATAAATCATAAAATTGAATACTCACATCAATTCAAACACTGTTACAAATTCAACCAAAATACAACAGAATGTAAGAAAAAATTAACGTGGAACTTACGAAATAAAAAATGCCATATTGCCAACGATTGTTACTTAAAAAACAAACCAAACAAAACCAACAAACAGATTAAATGAACCTACAGGGTACCGACATAATCCTTTGATCCAAGAAACACTAATAAATACAAAATATTACCAACAAACGCCAACTAATAAAAACATTAAAAATGACACAGTTCATATAATAATAGACAAAAATAGAAAAACTAATGAGTCATATATAAAAGCAAGCCTAAAGAATGAAAACACAAACATTTCCATAGATTCTGGAGTATCCATAAACTGCATTCGTCCAAATCTAATAAATCCAAAATTTATCAGCCCACCACATAAAATATATAAAATATCGGGTCCAGATAAAACATCATGTAAACTCTTACGCCGTGTCCTACGTGAGGCCGGCGAGTGCGGCGAGTGCGTCCGATGCGAACGAATTCGCATCGGACGCATCGGACGTTTTTCGAACGCCGCACTTGTGGCAAATGTGAGTCCGAGTAGTCCGACATCGCAGTGTACGGCGATACATACTTGAGTGAAATACGCGTGGATAGTTTTAAAAAGTACATTTAATATTTGCATTGATAATTACTATGAATTTAAGTCTACAAAAAAAAAATGTTACTTAGTGAAAGTACTGTACTTAAATATTTATTGTACAAAAAGTATAAAAAAAGTAAAAGATCAATGGCAAACACATTTATTTACAATGATCGACTTACGTTTGGTGAATTTTACCATTTGTACCTCAATTACGAAGTGACAATGCTTTGTTTCGAGCATATACAAGAATGACATCAGAAACGTTTGATTATATTTTAGAAATAATTACACCTGAATTTGATCTTCGAACAACAAATTTTCAAGAACCTATTTCAATAGAAGAAAGATTGCTTGTTACAATAAGGTAATTTATTTACTTGTTCATAGGTAGGCTTAGGAAAAAAAAATTTAATATTTGATACATTAGTTAAATATGCAAATGAAAAATTATTCTTTTATATAAAATAGAATGAAAATAAAATATAACCTTCTTTGGTGTATAACATAACAAATTAATTGTTTAACAATAAAGTAAAAATTCGTCACATATCATATTTAAAATATTAACTTTTTTATAGTAACAATAGTCTTAATTAACTTTAACAATATAATATTCATATTCATAATCATTTTATGATACAAAATAAAGTAAAAATTATACAATATTCTTAAGCAAGACGTTTTAAAATAATAAAATACATCAGTTTAAACTTGACATTTTTATAAAAAGAAAAAAATCATAAAATATTTTTATCTAAACAGCGAAAAATAAAAAATATATTAATAATATACTTTAAACTCTAAAAGTTTTATAATTTTAATTGAAATTTTGATTAAAAATTAAAATTTGGAGCAGGTGTATTTTCGAATGTTCCGTCTTGTATATTATTAGTTGGGTTGATTATCTGTTGGATATGCATGTTTGATGACAATCCTGCACGTGTATTTTGATAATGCATTTGTTGAGAAGAATACTGATGAAGGTATGGGGTAGAAGAGGGATATGATATTTCTTCATTAAATGATGGTGGCTGTTGTGGTGGGGTTGATAATTCATTTATAAATACAGTCTGAATTTGGTTTCTTATGCGCAGTTTTTGTAATGGGTTCATAGAAGAAAAATATGGATGAAGTGACTTTAAAAATAACATGTCTTCGTCATCAGTTATAACTGGAGTTAAATTCGATTGAAGTAATGCAGTTAGTTTCTGTTCCTCGAGTTTCAACAACTCACTTTCAAAATCATTGTTTGATTGTTTTTTCTTCCGTTTAATAGAACTTTTTTGTGAACAATTTGAAGAAGTACTTGAAATGTTTGGTGGTGCTGTAGCAGGAGTAATAAAAGAGTCAGTTTCTAATTCGGGCATTGATACATATTGTTCAATCTCAATCTCATCATTATTATTAGAGCTTATGTCGCCTGTAAAAGAGCCACTAAAATGTTCATTCTCCTCAATATCCGATAACTCTTAATTCTGCTGCTGAGTATTCTCTTCGTCAGAAATATTTCCCTCAGTATTTCGTGGCGTAGTTGTGTCTTTTAAAAAAAAGCATTAGCTTATAGTAAATCCATTTTCCCGTGTAAATTTCTGCATTTTCCTGTGAATCTCCTGAACGACATTTTTTTACTTTCTTTTTTTCTTTTAAAAAAGTATCCCTCAGATTTCTCCACTTTCTTTTTGCATCTTCTTCTGCAATGTTAGTCAATTTATTAAGATAGTTATAAAAAATAAAAATAATAATTACTTCAACATTTTTTGGAAAGTAGGTATATAATATATGTGTCGCAGCTAGGTACATAGTGTAATCATTTATTTTTAAACTGGATACCCTGCAGATAGTGAAATTCGTGAAGGAATTAATTACATATTTACTTATGTATTTTAATAGGTTTTTAGCGACAGGACTGGCATTTAGACAAATTGCCTTCTCGTTCAGAATATCCAAAACTACAGTTTCAAATATTGTCATGGAAGTGTGTAAAGCAATTTGGAACGCATTGAAATACAAACATATGCCAACTCCAACAGTTGATACATTTAAAAAGATAGCTTTAGAATTTTATGAAAAGTGGAATTTCCCGAATTGCGTAGGTAGTATTGATGGGAAGCATATTAGATTGAGATGTCCAAAATTGTCTGGAAGCATGTACTACAATTATAAACAGTTTTTTTCGATTGTTCTAATGGCAGTTGTTGATGCGAACTACAAATTTGTAATGATAGATGTTGGAGCGTATGGCAAGGACAGTGATGGTGGTGTTCTGTCCAATTCAACATTTTATCAACGTATTGAAAATGGTTCTCTGAAACTACCAAAAGAAACCGAATTGCCAAATTCAAATGTCTTGGCACCATTTGTTTTCATTGGGGATGAAGCTTTCCCCCTACGAAATTATTTGATGAGACCATTTCCACGAAAACAGGCGCAAGATAACGCAAAAGCATACTACAACTACAGACTTAGTAGAGCTAGAATGACAGTTGAGTGTGCATTTGGTATTATTTCATCAAAATTTAGAATTCTTTTGAAATCAATTGAAACCAAAGTGGAAAACGCAGACCACATTGTCAAGGCAATTTGTATTTTACATAATATAATTATCGACTTAGAAAAAAAACATATAACTTCCACACAACATAATAATTCGAACGATATTGATATTACGTCATATGGAAACCAGATGATTGAGCTAAATAGAGGTGGCAGATCTAATAATCGTGCTACACGTACAGCTATATCAATAAGAAACAACTTTGTAAATTTTTTTATGGAAAATACAATTTAAGAAGCAATTTATGAATGTAGTATTTAACAAAATATAATTGTATTTTGAGTTAATTATATGGATTATATATTAATTATATTTTATTAATTATAATGCTGGTAATAACTAATAAGTAACAACCGATACCTATTATTTATATTTAAAATTGTATTTAGTATATTTAAAAGAATAAATTAAAAAATAACTGATGTGTATTTGGTGTGTATTTAAGAATCTATATTTAAATTGTTTTATGAATATATAAATTATAAATTACAACATGATAATTATCACCTAAGACCTAGGTAACCATTATGTTTTGGGATGTACTTACGTATGTACCTATGTACTAACGCACTTGCCCCGATATTCAGTAACGCACTAACCCCGGTATAGGTTTTTGGTTTTTGTACGGACTACTGGTTAAGTGCGCCATCAAGCTATTTATTAAAGTATTTAATCAAAACTACATCAAAAACAAATATTAAATTTGTTTTCAGTTAATACTTACTTTAAACTTTCCGTTAAAACATTAAATGTGAATATGTGATACCTAACTGAACATTTTAGTTTATTATGTCATATCACAAAAGTTAATATAAAAAACGTCATTTCATTTAATCAAACCTACATTATCAAGTATTTATATTTTATAACACAGTTTTGCCATACATAAAAACATGTTCGGAATAATATTTCATACCATTTGTAAGTAACTTCTGCCACAATATGTGCATCCGTTATCAGATACATTGCAATAACGCAATTACCCCAATGACGCACTTACCCTTTCTAACCCTATTAATTAAATAATTATATAATATATAATAATTGTATATAAATAATCTCTGTACAATATCTCTGATATTGCATTTCATTGCAATCGGTCCAGCCGTTTAATGTAAGGAATGCAAGGACGGACATTCATTTTTTTATATACATATATATATAGATATAATTCATGCTTTGATGCATGAACTTTACATTTGACTATTTATTTTATAAATAAATTAAATTAATTTATTTTATTTTATTTTATACTCACTATCCAAATTAGTTTTTTTAGCCACTATACTCCATTCCTTATCGCAAACTACTCTATCCCTGTGCTTTTTATTTCGCTTGTCCCACAACGCACTTCGCTTTTGTACTTCAGATATTAAAAGTTCACAACTTTCCATATTAAAAAATAAGTTAATAATAATAGGCAAATAAAGGCAAACGCACTGAACGCAGCTTTGTGCGGCGACAAAAACAAAATGATTTGTTTTTCAAATTGTCCGGTGCGTGCGAACGAATTCGATCGCACGCAAGTGCGGCGATTGCGGCGGCACATTGGAAACGCGACATGTTACCACAGGTTTGTTTATTTTGGTCGCCGCATCGCACGCACCGCAATGCGTTTGCCGCACTCGCCGGATTCACGTAGGACACGCCGTTAGGCAAGGCTACAATAAACCCACAAATCGAAAATACAATATTCCAAACACCCGTCTTCTTAACGAAAAATCTAAGCAATGCGATAATTTTGGAAAACCAATTTTTGGCAGCTAATAAAGCCAATACAGATTATACAAAGAAAACAATTACTCTAAATAATATCATTAAAAAGAGAATAATACATAAAAAGCCAACAGCAGAACACAATGAAAAATACAAAATAAAATCAGGCATTACAATTAAAGCCAATAAAAACATTATATTTAATACCACATACAACTATTCAACAGAACATAATATTTCCAATAATATCCAATATAAGATAGAGTCATTTAAACAAACGCAACAACTTAGAAAACTACATCTTCTTAACAATTTAGAACCAATACCACGTGTAAAAATTATTACCAATAAAGAACATACACAAAAAGAATATATAACCACAAGAGAAATATATAATAAACTCAACATATATTCCAACACCTTTGACAATTCGTATAATTTTAAAAATTCGGTCTCTATGAAAAACTACGAAAATATAGTCACATATAAAATAAATTTAGTAAATAATGAATTTCTACAATGGGAGACAATTAAGAATATTATTTTTAAGATATCCAAAAAGACGAAAATAAATCCGCCAACGTACAATCGAAACAACACTATGAACAATACAATGACATTTATCACATTAAACATAAAAAACAATTACCACCATAATATCATGTTACACAAATATATTCGAATATTTTGGGTCTGTCAAAGCATTACCCATACACTATTTCAACGAAAATATTATAATGTCTTTTGATAATTTCAAACTAAACACATACAAAAATCAAAAAATCTCAACAATTTTAAACATAACACATCCACTAGAATTATCGGTGTTTATCAAACAATGGCATGATAACCAATTTACGAGTATAGGAAACGATCGTAATTTTTACACGTCATACTTGTTAAACATAACAAAAAAAGCATACTTATATAATTCAGAGCCCAAATCTACTATGGTCCCACATATATATAATAATAATGAAACAAACTGGAGCCCTAGATCAATGATAAATCACAATTCCAAATCCAATCAAATTATTGAGACAATTATGCATACTGAAAACTATACCACAATAAAATACATAAAAAGAACGCGTAATCAAAAATTATATAATATGATAATAAAAAGTGGAATCACAAAATATATTTATTTTACATACATATTACATTACATTATATTATATCTATCTTATTATAAACATGATAACTAAATTTAAAAATAAAAAACTATATAATTATGTAACTTTAAGAGCAAATTTTAATAATACGAAATTGAAACAACATGATAACAACCTAAAGGTACGATTCCTATGACGCAGCAGACGCGTGCGGCTAACGCACTGCGTCTGACGCACGCGTCAGTTGTGTGCAGCCGTTGAGAGGTAGTAGACGTCTTTGCCAATTTTTTATTATAACCTGTACTTTAAAGTATAAATATATTTTTAATTAAAAAATTAAAAATGAGCCAACGTGAGTTATTGTCATATCTTCTTCTTGAAGAAGTTGAAGAAGAAGAATTTCTCATAGAACAATTATTAGAAGAACAGGGGAATGCAAACGAACATCCCTTATTTACGTCAAGGTCAGAAGAAGGATTTTTTGAAATATTAGTTAACCGACATTTAATACACGATGACAAGAAATTCAGGGAGTTTTTCAGGCTGAATATTGATCAATTTAATTACATTTTGCAATTGATTGAAAAAGATATCACAGTAGATTCTTCAAATCGACATCCATACCCAATAACTGCAGCGGAAAAATTAGCCCTAACTTTGCGGTGAGTAAAAATCATCAAGTAATATTATATGTAATTATAAAATGTTCAGTTTTTTTGACTAAGGATTGAAAATTAAAAAAAAATATAAAAAAAAATTTAAAACAAAGATTCATATAGGTATAGGTAATTATAATTTATTTTTAATCAATTACAGATATTTTATAAACATTATGGCAAATGATATAGAAACTATAATTGTATGTAATTAGGCTCATGGGGATTGACTTCGTTTTCATTTCCATAATCATTATTAACGTCCACACTTTCCAATGACTGTGATGGGAAACTTGTACTTGGCGCCGGTGAATATTGTGGTAAATTAACGAATGTACTCGTATTGCGTGTTTCTAATTCGAAGACCATTTTAAGCGATTTCATTTTTGCTTCATTTATCAATGCTGGACTTAGTTTTTTAACAGAGATCGCGATACTTTTAAAAAATAAATCGATCTCATCTTCACGATTTTGAGCTATATTCTTCATGATCTTGTAATGGGATTACGCAATATCATGTATTTGCTCATAATAACAACCA